TGACAATCTGAGGGTGGGGAAAATTGCCAGTTACACATTTCCTAAACACTAATACAACTCTCGCTGCCATTAACAATTCTGCCATCATAAAACCTGTAAAAAGTACATTACACTACTCTCCACTCTCCAAACTTTCGCTTTCACAGTGAGCTACTTTTTGTTAAATGACACGTTAGGATGTAATGTATTCATGAAGTTAGCAGTAAATGATATTTAAGATAAAATGCGACTCGGAAGTTAACCAATGCAGTCTGTTTTCTATATTCGCAAGAAGCTTAGTATGAATTCGCAAGTATGTATGTAGTATGAATTCGTATATAGCTTAGTATGAATTCGAATTCGCATTTCTATATTCGCAAGTATTCGCAAGAAGTTTAGTATGAACGCTCGGCGTGTAGAAGCTGGAGCAATTTACTGAGGTAAGACTTCACGTCGAGCGCAGATGGAATTTGCTGGGAGGCTAATATTTAGGCTCTTCCGGGAAAGGGCTTAACGCTCCTGTTGATGTTTCACGCGGACGAGAAGCGTATATGTGAGGCGTGAAGCGGGTACAATCTCAGAAGGTTGTGAACACCTCCTCGTTCCGGAGCCACAGATGTGTGTGTCGATCTGTAAGTGGAGCACGTACACTGGTTCGCAAAACTCACACGTACATGCTCACACTAGCCCCTCCAGTCGTCACACGCACTCATGAATGACACACGCACTCACAACTCTCACGTGCACTCGCGTATCTCATTCACGTGAACTTCCTATTTAAACAAACCCATGGTGAACGGTGAATGGGTTACTAATCTTTTTTTTCATTTTGTCTTCATCCTCGCCCCTCCGTCCCTGCTTCCCATTCCTTGCCAAATACTTTGGGCATTAAAGGCTCAAAGTATATCAGAAATGTTACACATTCACACAATCACAAATCACTTACACATTCATCAATGAAACATGCATACTTCATTACAAATGAAAAACTCACACTTACTCACAAACACATGAACACACACACACACACACACACACACACACACACACACACACACACACACACATGCACGCACGCACGCACCCCACTGACACAGTTCCCTTACTCGCCAGCAACCCACAGAGTATTGGCCTGCCAGCAATATATAATAGCCAACCACGAAAGCACTCCGTTAAGCTCCCTCTCACACCGTCTCCCAGACTATGCTTGCCTCCAGTCCTCCTCCACACAGGCGCTGTACTTCAGTCGCTTCCTGTTCCATTATCCACCTAAAGGTAACAGAGAGTACCGGAAGACAGAGAGGGAAAGACTAAAATTTTTGTGAGACGGAGGATATAGACGGTGGCTGAGTGGACATGTTTATAGTGTGTTGTAGATGGGAGTCTAAGTCTGACTGCGGTGGGGCTTAGTAGAGTTGGGCAGTTAAGTTTGTTTGGTAGTTTATCTAGCAGGTATTTAGAGTAGACCAGATGAGTAAGTTTGTCTGGTAGCTTACCTGACAGGTATTTCATGTGTTGTTGTAGCAGCGGTCAAACACATACAGGAAGAAAAATATAACAGTTGTCTCATATTTTTAGCACAGAATGTCATGTAGGTGATCTTCACGGCTTCTGCTTCCTTCTATGGATTCACATTATTCTCAAATAAACACAGGATGACGTGCTTCAAAACTAATGATACTTGTGTCCCGAAGTCATGTGTCAATTCCCTAATGCCTCTCCGTCATTCTAGATCGTGTGTATCTAAAATGATTGAGTGGCATAGGTACCCGTACGCCTTGGCTTGCCAGTGTGAAAGTGAATCTGTGTATTATATGTTTGTGTTTATCAGTATAACTATTCTGCAGGTTATTAAGATCAGGTTATTCCGACCTGTCATACAGCAGCTGTTTACATTATAAATATCTGCTGTTAGATAGTCTTGGATGCGCTTAATTTTTGAATTGTGTGCGATCCGTTTCCTGTCTATACATATTTATATCCCTCACGGTCACAAAAGATGACAAGAGATCGTTCCGGAAATGTTCAACAGCACTTAATGTGATTTAACATTATGTAATGCAACAACCACCCTTACCGTCTTTAAAACATAAAAGTCTCATGTAACATCATCTAATGCAACAACATTTACCGTTGTCAACATTTTCAATGTTACATTTAACATTGGCTAATGCTACATCATCCGCTGCTCTTCAAGTTCGTGGAATGCGGCTGCTCTCCTGGGGCCAGATTCACGAAGCAGTTAGGCAGGCACTTACGAACCTGTACATCTTTTCTCAATCTTTGGCGGCTTTGTTTACAATTATTGAATAGTTAATGAGCTCCGAAGTACCAAAAGGCTGTTTACACAAAATAACAACAGTTGATTGGGAAGTTTTCACGCTTGTAAACTGTTTAATAAATGTAACCAAAGCCGTCAAAGACTGAGAAAAGATGCACACGTTCGTAAGTACTTGCGTAACTGCTTCGTGAATCTGGCCCCTTGTGCTCGGAGGGAGGAGAGAGTTACTTGGCCAAGCAACACGTGTGGACAGACAGGTGTAAGACAGGATTACATCTGGTATCTCACGTGCTGAGTGAGTCTATGTTTGGAGACGCTTGTGGGAAGCTGAGTGAGACATTAGATACAGTACGTATGAGCAAAATAGATTCTGAGTTCGCGTGATTATAACCATCTTTTCTGCTATTAACTCAGTGAGGGCGGGGGATTTAAATTCTTGTATTTCTAAAATTCTAATATGTTGTGTTATGGTATATTTTTGGGGATTTATTTAAGTATTCTTCGTGACGATAGTTTATGGCGTAATTTGCGGTGTCTTACTGTTATTTCGTCTTGTCTAAGGATCACCCAGAGCACTAGATATGGGTCTTATAATCTATATTAGCTTATAATCTATAGCACTAGATTATAAGCTTTCATAAGACATATATTGTGAACACTGCCCGAAACGCTTTGCGTAATAGTGGCTTTAGGCATTGTATGTACTAGCTCTATCTATAAATCTATCAATTTTTGTAAAACCTCTTGTATGTATGTACTTTACCTGAAGAAACATTTATTTATTTTATATAAGAGGGAAGGGAAGTCGAAAGTTCCATCACGTAACCCAGCCGACCTCAACTTTGCAGGGTAACCCCTGGGTTAATTAGGGTGACTAATGACTGAACACATCCTTCAAACTCACATTTTAAAGAATGATGTTCACAATAAGGTGAAGTTAATATTCATTCATCACAGTACTAAATTGGGGGTTCGGTCACTGGTATAACAGTTTTAAAACAAAAAAATGCAATTTTTGTTTGTACAAATGCTGACTCGAACTGAAAACTAAAATAACAGGTTAATTAATTAAAAAGAATACAATATGAATGTATATTGTCTTAATTAAAAACTAATCAAACCAATCTTATAATGGTTGTTTAAACCTAACATAATTATAAAACATTGGATGGCAAAAGTCATTTACAATGTGCCTATTCAGTTGTATATATTGTGAACACAATCCGCCTATATAAACCTCTATCTCATGGGGGGAAAATATATAATTTCCATATGGAATAAAAAAGATTGGGCGTAACGCTTTTGTTTCACGTTGTCGGGGACCATCACAGTCGTGAGAACTAAAGGCAGGTGATCTAAGTCACGTCCAATGCCGAGAACACTGGAAAAGTAAGACAACGAGGGGAAAATGGAAGTTATTGCTCGGAAATATACAGAAGCAACGAAGCTGTACATCCCTCACGAGAAGCAAGAGGGTGAGAGAAGCAAAGTAAACCCCGGGTTCAATAGGCGGGGATGAGACGTAAAGGAGAGGACCCGAAAGACGTCCCAAAAGTACGTCATGGAAGACGTACAGCGAGCTAGGAACATCATGGAAGACGTACAGTGAGCTAGGAACAGCATGGAAGACGTACAGCGAGCTAGGAACAGCATGGAAGACGTACAGCGAGCTAGGAACAGGACGAAAGAACGCCAGAAATTAATACTCCCGTCAGGAGGGTAAGCTGAGTGGCAAACTGGAAACAACATTGCAGCGAAAGCTAAGGACCAACCCGAGCTGTCCTATAGCCACACGAGGCAACCCGTTCTCGCAAATTTAATAAGTCAATATTGACTTATTAAATATGTGCATAGGTGACATACTTAACAAAATAGTTTCCCTTGAAAAGCTTCATAGAAACACCGATCTTACCTAACCTACTTAGTATGTTAAGATAAGCATCTTATTGCTTCGTAATTACAATAATTACCTAACCTATACCTATAATAGGTTAAGTAACAATTGTAATTACGAAGCTATAAGATGTTTATTTTAACATACTAAGTAGGTAAGGTAAGGTCGGCGTTTTCTCTGAAGCTTTTCAAGGGAAACTATTATGTTTAGTATGTCACCTATGCACGCAACTAATAAGTCAATATTGATTTATTAAATTTGCGAGAACGGGTTGCACGAGGAGAAAAACAACAGTACACGGACAGCCTCTTTAAGGTGAAAAAGAAATAGGATAAGAAGACCCAAGGGAAAGCTGGAAACACAAACCAGTCGAAGATATGTAAGAAAATATTCGTAACCTGTTCGGGCGGTCAATAAGTGAAAGGCACTGAGCAAGGAAGTTGTGGAAGCCACCTCCATCCACAACTCTAAAACTTGACTCTAGAACCCAGCAACCTTTATATTTGCCATATTCCGAAAACAGTATTGTTGCCGGATATATATGTTTTCAATGTGTAATTTAAAAGAAACATATACCCAAAGGCAAATCACATCAAGGCAAATGGGGGAGGATCTTCGACCAGCGAGCGTCCTGTCCTCGTATAGGCCACTAGTGTTAGTGGACTTCAGGGGCTAGATTCACGAAGCAGTTACGCCAGCACTTACGAACCTGTCCATCTTTTCTCAATCTTTGGCGGCTTTGTTTACAATAATTAAACAGTTAATGAGCTCCGAAGCATTAGGAGGCTGTTTATAACAATAACTACAGTTGATTGGCAAGTTTTCATGCTTGTAAACTGTTTAATAAATGTAACCAAAGCCGTTAAAGATTGAGGAAAGATATACACGTTCGTAAGTAGTTGCGTAACTGCTTGTTGAATCTGGCCCCAGGTAAATATACCTTAATTTTCATAAAATATAATATTTTAGCAGCTCCGGCTATTCTTAAAAATTATGACACTCAGACACACATCCATAATACTATAATGAGAAAATGTATTAAGATAAATGTTATAGAACACGTTGGATAACATTAGACTTAATTTTGTTCCTTCTTCTCTGCATCATTCTCCACAAAAGTCTCGTCTAAGGATATCATGGTATCGTCAGCAGGCAAGTCTGTCATCTGCGTTTCGTCCAGATTTCCATTTTCTCCCATGTGAACCTGTGCGTTTTCTATAATAGGTAGGGGAGACCGTCCTCTTTGTTGATCCTTAGGTAATTTGTCGCTGCCCTTTGTTATATTTTTAAGATCGCTCAACTTCTTGTGGTCCCTGCGAGATATAGTCTCAATAGGCATGGCCATGATTTCTTGTCGCCGTTTTAAGACTATGGCTTGTCTTGGCATGATGATCAGCTTCCCAAGTAAGTAGTAACAGAAGGCAGATATCAGAGAGATGCCACTAAATACTTGGAAAGTAAAAGGTGCTTTAAGGTTTGACATGAGGTATCCCCCAAGCAAACTACCAGCACTTTTACCTGGAAAAGTAAACGTTGAAATGAGATGACTGTCAAGTTTCATATATTTTGTTGATTAAAATAGTGCAAATTACAATTAATAACCTAATGAACGAAAACTCTACTCTGAATTATTGTCAAGTAAGGATTACAAACACTGTATAACAGTATACATCACCAAGATTATTAGATACGATAAAAATTAACGATATTTTAATTAAGAAATGTTAAATAAGCATGTAGAACTTTATAGTTGGTAGCAATGAAACCAAAATTACTGTAGTTTAAAATAAAGAGGCTGTCACCCACCAAGGCCGTAGTGGAGGGTAGCCAACACACCCTGCAAGGTCGCCAGATTTGTCTTGGAAGACAGCTGGGCCCCGTAAATGATAGCGGCGGTGACAAGAAGACCTGTAGTGACTCCTTCCAGCAGTTCAAAAGGCGCACACCAATAGTAGTCCTTGATGAGTGAGTAACCTGTAGCAATGAAAGAGGAAGGGCGTGAGAGTGTAGTGGTTCAGTTATCAATAGTGTAGTGACTTAGTTATCAATAGCGTAGTAGCTCAGTTATCTATAGTTTAGTTCCAGTTAGCAATACAAGACAAATCATGACAAAAAAAAAGCCTTTACTAACTACCCAAAATTATCGCTAATTAAAGTACATCAAATGATCTCTCAGATGTTCTGTTGCTTCTTAGATATTTTGCTTCAGAACTGTTATTTATTATGATGTAATACCTAAGAGACATTGACTATTAAAACGTAAATAACAACTTTATTTAAAATTCAAAAGCAATTCTGTCCACCATTATTTTACTATTGACAATACTGTCAAATAATTCGTGACATTTCCTTTCCACATTTTTCTATATAGTAATCAATATTATACACATAAATTACGATGCACTCTTTGATATTCCCTTTAAATAGTTTAATTCATTATAAAAATACAAAGCACTTATTGTTTTTTAAATTCTAAACCATCTTTAAGTACTCATCATGAGATTTCTTCAAAATGTACACTGTCTGTACACTGTCTTTGAACGTGTAAATTTGTGCATTCGCTTATGAATATGTGTTGTTGTCTGTGGGCTTGTTCGGTTGTCTGTGGGCTTGTTCGGTTGTCTGTGGGCTTGTTCGGTTGTCTGTGGGCTTGTTCGGTTGTCTGTGGGCTTGTTCGGTTGTCTGTGGGCTTGTTCGGTTGTCTGTGGGCTTGTTCGGTTGTCTGTGGGCTTGTTCGGTTGTCTGTGGGCTTGTTCGGTTGTCTGTGGGCTTGTTCGGTTGTCTGTGGGCTTGTTCGGTTGTCTGTGGGCTTGTTCGGTTGTCTGTGGGCTTGTTCGGTTGTCTGTGGGCTTGTTCGGTTGTCTGTGGGCTTGTTCGGTTATCTGTGGGCTTGTTCGGTTGTCTTGTTCGTTTATCTGTGATCATGTACGGTTATCTGTGATCATGTACGGTTATCTGTTGGCTTGTTCGGTTGTCTGTGGGCTTGTTCGGTTATCTGTGGGCTTGTTCGGTTGTCTTGTTCGTTTATCTGTGATCATGTACGGTTATCTGTGATCATGTACGGTTATCTGTGGGCTTGTTCGGTTATCTGTGATCATGTACGGTTATCTGTGATCATGTACGGTTATCTGTGGGCTTGTTCGGTTATCTGTGATCATGTACGGTTATCTGTGGGCTTGTTCGGTTGTCTGTGGGCTTATTCGGTTGTCTGTGGGCTTGTTCGGGTGTTTATGGGCTTGTTCGGTTGTCTGTGGGCTTGTTCGGTTGTCTGTGGACTTTTTCGGTTGTCTGTGGGCTTGCCCCGTTGTCTGTGAGCATATGGTGTTGTCTGTAGGAACGTGCGATTCTCTGTAAGCGTATGCTGCCTCCTGTGAACATGTGCGCCTGGCAACACGCGTCTCTTCCTACAACAGGTGTAGACTTGGTGGTGCCGTCTCATCCATAGTTTAAGACGTGTTTATTTTAATGTGGGGCCATGTATACGTTCATCTGGCGAAGGTCATGACCCTTACAAGTATCATATGAAACTTTTGTCAGTGGAATTGTGTTTGTACGTCTCTGAGTGCGTGTGTTTGTGGCGGTCTTAGGTATGTTTCTGTTGATAGGCGCTTACCTATGTTCCTTCGATTTCTTATTTGTGTTTTAGGGATTGTCTGCGTGTGTATTTACTATTTGTATTTTACTTTTTTGCATCTGCAGAATCGAGCTATTAGCTCTTGGGTCCCTCCTTTATAACCAATATATTTTTCCTCTATTATGTCTACTACATATATTTCTCTCTGACTCACACACACACACACACACACACACACACACATCCTCACGAAGCAGCCCGTAGCAGCTGTCTAACTCCCAGGTACCTATTTGCTGTTAGATGAGCAGGTGCATCAGAGTGAAAGAAACTCTGCCGATTTGTTTCCCTCTCCACCGGAATCCAACCAGGGCTATTAGAACTACGACCCCCAGGCGCTATCCACTCAGCCGCGAGGCCCCCCAGGTATATGTGTGTGTGTGAATCTTTTCCCGGAACGACAAGCACTCGTCCAACAAGGTGTGTAGTAATTGTGAATGAAATAACCTCTATTGAGGTCTGATTAAGACCTTTTGTGCCCTCTGTAATCCTTTTTGCGCTACCGCTCACAGGATGAGTATAGGGTGCGCAATAGACGAGCCACCAACTAAAACCATCCAACATAATACTAACACGCTTTGTAATGATAATTTGGCATTAAGAATTTTAAGAATATAAAAGTTCCTCGAAGAAAGAAGAATACCATTTTACCTCTATCTTTTGTCTCTCAGTGTTTTCCTGTCCAGAAGTAATTGTAAAATAACTCATTTTTTAACCAAAAGTATCACGATAGATAACACATGTCGGGACGATACTCTAAACATACAATAGATAACACGAGCCGGAACGATACACTGAATTTAAGAGATGCTAAGGAGATTTTAATGTGCCAGGAAGACCAGGGCGTGGAAGGAGGAGAAGGAGGAAGCCAGTACAGAAACAGTTAGCGTGCTCCACCCTGTTGGCCCCGCTGGCCTGATAGGCTCAAGTGGCCCTGATTGGCTGACGAGAGGGTTGAGAGGCAATATTTTGTCTCTCTAATTGAAATTGAGATGAAAGCATAATAGGGACCTCCAAAACTAATAAGAATTTTAGCTATGCGAATGAGAATGAAAGTAAATAAGTGTGAGGCACTGTTTTGTGGATGAGAAAAATAATGAGTTAATGAATGTGCAGACAAGTTTCTGAATGAAGTTAATACACTAACTCAGAAAAAATGACATGATAATTACGTGCATAATTCCGATGGGAATAAACAGGTTGAGTAAGAGAGCATATTGCGATAACCAAAAATAGTACAAGAGATTACACGTCTCCGTGGTGTAGTGGTAAGACACTCGCCTGGCGTTCCGCGAGCGCTTTGTCATGGGTTCGTATCCTGGCCGGGGAGGATTTACTGGGCGCAAATCCTTAACTGTAGCCCTCCGCATTCCAGGGACCTGCCCGAAACGCTACGCGTACTAGTGGCTATACAAGAATGTAACAATTCTTGTATATATCTCAAAAAAAAAAAAAAATAACGGTGGAAATTTGACAAGAAAACGAGAGGAAAGCTCTTCTTCTTCTTGTTAGTAAGTGCAGTTTGCATGAAGGGTTTGTCCTCCCGATGACTGCACAAGGAAAGCTCAGACAGAAGGAGACGTGACAGGATATAACTTCATAACTTCAATAGCTATTACTATAAAAAACTTCAATTCCAAAATGTTTAAAACTTACTTGATACTGTTAGATAACGACTGATAGATAAACACCATAATTCTTGAGCAATAGACGTCCACCAACAACGCTTCTCACGCCCCACACCATACTATACCACGTCACTCCACACCACACCACAACACACCACACCACACCCACACCACACCTGCACCCACACCATACTACACCCCACCACAACAAGCCCTGCATCAACTCACCAATACAACGGATGGAGTAGCAGACGAGACCAAAAGCTATGGCCTGGAAGTTGCCAAACTTCTTGCAGATGGCGCCGGAGCAAGCCAGGAAGGGCAGTGCTGCGATTGAAGCGATGGTCGTGAGAAGGCCAATGAACCAGTTCGTGGCTCCTAGGTCTCGCAGGTGCCACGGCAGGAAGTTCTCAATGAAACCGTAGCACATACCTGGACGAGGGAGAGCCAGTCAGTATGTACACCAGGGGATAGAGACTTCAATGACAGAGATTACATATTTGGAAAATATTTTTAATCATAGTACTATTTGTTATATTATTGTTAACGTGTGTAACTTCAGGGAGGAAGAGAGGTAATTGTTGTTATTTTGGTTATTGATTATACCAATAACCTTTTTGGTTATTTGGTTATACTTGTAAAAATCATTTGCACAAATTTGGTAAGACACAGTAACGTGTTTTGTCACAGGCTGGCCAACGTGCTCACGTGGACCTGAATTATGTACTCCCACACGCAAGTCCTTCCTTAATCCCTCCTTCCTCTTCTTAAACGACGTGATAATAAATACATCGCAAAGTTCTCCACTACATACAACTGTTTGTCAATGGTTTTCAATGAATGACGGCTCGTTAAGGCAATTATCGTCGATTTAATTCGTTACTACCATTGAATTTCACTCAAAAATATATATATATATATATATATATATATATATATATATATATATATATATATATATATATATATATATATATATAATATTAATTACCATAGAATCTCATCCAAAACATTTAAGTTTGAACATAATTATTTGATTTGGAAGTATGACATGTAGAGAAGTAGAAACATTGCTTCCAGCTCAAACACATCTCATATCTTGAGTCACCTTCTCTAACATGTGCAATGGTGTGGAGATGATAACTAATGTCCCTAAACTTTAACTAAAACTTGGCTATATAGGTCTGAATAATATTTTTTTAATCATTAGGCTAGTGGTGGAGTAAATTTCATAATTTAGCGGAAACAGGCCAGGTCATGAATGCACACTCACGGCCAAATTTACGAATGCAGTAAGTTCACGAAAGAGCATGTGGTCCACTAAATTCCCCACGCCACCATTTCAGACATGCACTAACACACACACACACACTATACTGACACACATACACATATACACACCATAAACACATTAACACACACAGTAACCACCTCACCTGAGATAAAGACGACACCCAAAAGCATGATCACCTCGAGGTTCCTGAAGAGGCTGCCTATGTCCTTACAGATGCTCCTGGATGGCACTTTGAAGCGCAGGTCCACCTTCATCAAGAGGAAAGCACAGAGTACCTTCAGGCCACAGTACAGTATGAACATCACGCTGTACACGGGATAAAGTCCTTAGAAACGTCTTCAAGGGAAAATCAAATATTTGTTTGATGTGCATATTAGTTAAATACATTTCTGAAAACCGAAATTTTGTTTGCTAGTGGTAGGTAATATATAACGTATTAGGAGACGGTTTGGAGGTTCCGCAAGTGACAACGTCAATTATACTTTTATTTCGAATAATTTTGAGGCTATCATTCAGCTATAACCTGTTAAAACATATATATATATATAGTGTGAGAGTGTGTAAGCACTTAAGAGAAAGATGAGGACCATTTAGGCAGGAAAAGAGTGGAAAGAAGACTGCATGAATTATTAAAAAGTCTCGTCATCAATTGCATGGCAGTGTTGGAATACTGCCATTTAAACTGACTTGTAAATATTGAGCACGGTAATGGCATTGACTGACGTGTCAAACAAAATCATTATAACACATCAGATAAAGGAAGTTGAAAATAACTAGAGCAACAGTTATATTCCTCATGAGGCTCTAGAACAACTTATTTAAATTGTATTTACTTGATTCAAGATTGCATAATTTCATATGTAAAATAAACGCAATAGTTGCATGGATTCTTCGCCGAAAGACGCAGCTGACTTTAACACTTACTAATAATCAGTATAGTGGCCACCTTTGCCAAAGTGGTCGATAAAGAAGCCTGTGAGCGGGGCGAAGACCATTCCGCCAATCGAGCCGTAGATCCTTTGCAGTCCGTAGTCATAGCCATACTCCTTAAGTATGGCCACTACGGCCACCTCAAACAGCGTGTACGTCAGCCCAATGAAGAGCTTGCTCAGTACATTGGCGGTGACAAAAAGCCAAAAACTCAGTGCCACGTTATGTACTATACTATGTGGTCGCTCTACACAGGTTTTGTTATGGGGAACAGTCACTTGACAGTGGAAAAGACAATCGACCGCGGCTTTGATCTCTATAAAATCTGGAGAGTCTTCTTGTATGGTGATCTTCGGAACGGAAACTTTCTTGGGAATACGGCCTTTGAGGCACTCGAAGCTACGGAGTTCTTCGGCAGACATTGTGAAATTGACAACCGGAATCTTAGGTTTATCGCGGTCGATTTCTGAGAGATGTAACCTTAGGTTGTGGATCATAAATGATTTGGGCATATTTTCATAGCTCAAGGTCTTGTTGAGGTTCTTCCTGAAGCATTTCTGCGTCTGCTGCACGTCGTCTTTGCTGTTTTGGATTTTGCACATGTGATGCAACAAAGGGTTAACTGCTAGTAGCAGCTTGGCTTTCTTCATAGTTTTAAGCAGATTTGCAGGATATTCAATTGCTGGTTCTGGACACAGGTAGCCACAGTCTTTGGCTTCCACCGAAGAAATAGTAAGAGTTTTGTTGAAGAAGTCACAATTGTTCTTATCCTTCTTGGGTGCGTTTGGTGTGAGAACGAATTCCGAATCGCAGGTGAGGCTGAAGGAGACCGTGTTGGAGTAGTTGGGTGTGGTACGAGCTGGAGGGACAGCCAGGTAGATTAGGGACACGAAGCCACTAAGCGCCACAGTAAACACCAGAATACACTGAAATGGAACTTAAGGTTAGAGGAAATTGCAGAAGGCCATAGCCAATGCTAATCAGCTCTTTCTTATCCCTAACCAAACTCCTTCATATATAAATGTTTAGTCTAAGATTGGAACAATCCAGCTATCCCAAATTGTATAAGAATAACATATAAGTATGAAGGTAACTGCAGAAGACCTATTGGCCCCATACGAGGCAGCTCCTATTTATATCCAATCTCATACATATATGTCTAACCTACGCTTGAAACAATCAAGGGATTCTGCTTCTATTATGCTACACATATCAACAACCCTCTTTCCAAACCAGAATGTATCAAGGTCTTTACTGAATCAAAAATTATCCAATTTGTATCATCACTTGTTCTGTTTTATGTTAATATATTTAGTACCTTAATAGGGTTCCCTTCGTATACTCTTTCACTCATCTGTACACTACTGGCTAGGTAAGTGGAATGTGAAAGACACTGACGGATGATAATGTTTGCAGACCATTAAGATCATAATAAAGTCTTATTGGACCAGAGCCAATAAAACCTGTCTTGGTCTGCTCACAGGAACCGGGAAACATGAGGGTAATGGCTTGGGCAGCAATAGGTCGAGACGGTCCTATCTACACAAGGTGCAGGCACCAGTAAAATTTGTGCCTTTTTCGTCCACAGTGAACAAATACAGCTAAATCTAGTGTGAGGGACATCGTAGCCGTATATACTTTCCGGTCTCGGTACCAGGAATAAACAGTTGTACCATCACTACGTCTGTGTTTACCAATACCCCCAAAGTCTCAACAGTTGAAGTAGATTATTATACAATAATTAACTCCCTCAGGATGGCAAAAGTTTGAATTGTATATATCTGTTTATCTCTATATTTATCCTGACTAAGATACATTTGTAGTTGTGTTTGGTGTGGTCTTTCTGACTGATTGGTTGACATTCATTTTTATTCATAAGTGATTTATGATAAACTTTATGCAAATTTATGCAGTTGTGGCTGGACTGAACAGGTGTACATCCACGAAACAATTGTAACTTACAAATAAAGCAGTGAGACATATTAGTAAAACATACAGCATAAGAATCTATAATGGTAAAGGGTGTTCCCCCTCACTTTTATTTTTAATAAAAATGAGTTTATCTCTTCTTAAATTAATTTATAAATCAGTTCTTTTCTTGTGCTTGCTGGTCTTGCCTGCTGTGCTTGCAGGAATATCTTACTTGCAGGAACTAAGCTTGCAGCCTCCTGTTTGAAAGGCATAAATATCGCATCAAACTCACTCTGAAGTTGCCGATCTTGTCAGCTATAACTCCGGCGACCAGCGGGGCGAAAACCGGAATAATTGGACCAATGGTGAAGACGAACCCGGTCTCTTGGAGCGTCAACCCCAATGCCCTTAGCAGCAGCGTGGTGAAGGGCGCCACGCATTGCGTCGCTGCAAGGAAGAGAGAGGGAGAAGGGAGGATTACAGGTCGTCGTCTGCAGTTTAGAAAGAAGCCTGTTAATGCATCCCTATTTTAAAGGACATGTGTGATAGCATATGAATGAATAATAACCTTACCAGAGTTTAATACATCCTGCGGGCTCACCATAGCCCGTGCTACTTGGAACTTTGTTCCAGGTAGCGAATCTTTAACAACAACAACAACTTACCAGAGCTATACTGTGCCTTTTCTCTAGAAACTTTTGTTGGAAGGCTTTTGTAATTCCTCGTCGCAAATTAATAAATAATATTGTGTTACAAGCCATAGAAGACATGTTTCAGTATTATTCTGAACTGAAAATGTTTAACAAAATAAGCCTAATAAGCACATGGAATACAACTTTGAATACAAAACTAAATGCAAACTTTCATGATGGTGATGTTCTCTGGGATGAAGTCAAATAGTCGACACAATCAACATAATGCATTGAATTTACTCAAGCATAGATTGTCTTCCTGTTGAGGCTTGGCTTGTTTACTGGGCGAGGTAAGACTGTCTACCTTCCTCGCTATAAGCTGATTGTTTACTGAGAGCTGACCTGTTCTAATGTGTAGATTCCTTACTTACGTAAGCGTGCGTCATCTGCTCGCTGCAAGTTGGCTACTTAACAAATCATTGTTTGCCAATATAGCGAAGCATGGATTAGCTCCTTATCAAGGCATAAATTGGTTGCTTAAACAGGCATATATTGGCAATCTTTCGACATGTAGGTTGTCCTCACCTCGGACAACATACCGAGACGGGGCATGGCAACGTACCGAGGCGGGGCTTGACCACATACCGAGGCGGGGCATGGCAACGTACCGAGGCGGGGCTTGACCACATACCGAGGCGGGGCATGGCAACGTACCGAGGCGGGGCTTGACCACATACCGAAGCAAGGGTTGGCCACTTACCGCCCATAATGATGAAGAAGGTGAGCTTGATCGGTACTAGTTTCGGGTTGACAAAATCGCCCCAGCAAGTGACGGCGGCCCGACGGCTTCCTTCTCTCAGCCGCTGGCCTCTCTGGCGGGCCCTCCACGACAGCTGTTGTCGGGTGCTCATCCTGCAACTAAGGTCTCGTCCTATAAGAGATTTAAGGTCGAGTGAGAGGGCCACCTTCCCCGTCTTTCAAGGGTCTCGGGTCATATAACATATTTTCACGAAGTTCTGCAAGATATCAATACTTATGGTTAAGGAGTCAATTGAGGGCCACAGGTCGTTTGTCGGGGGTCATGGCTCAGGTGAGGGATTCAAGCAAGCAGTTAACAACAGAACAGAACCACGCTTTTGCTGACAGTTATAACTTGTCAACACAAAAACGCTTAGCCGGTATATCAATATCGCATTCCAATGAGCAGTTCACTGACCAAAACACATTCAAATACTATTTAATATATTAGTAGAATGACATAAGGTTATCCACATGAAAATGTTCAATTTAACGAGTTTAAAAGACAGATGTTCTTGAAGCAGCTGTGTATCACTGACAGCCCTTACCATACATGAAAGATTTTTTTTCTGTGTTTAATAAGATCCATGGGATTTATTCTTTCTTGCAAATGTTGCATTTTTGCACCTATTTATTTTTGAGTTGTATCATTTATTATTACTCCTTTATAGCACCTTCAATGTATTTTTTAGCTTTACATAAGTGTTTAATGAGAATTCGAGATGTTAGCCAATTTAAAATACGTTAAATGTTGTACGTTGTTTACATTGAGGTGTGAAGGTGTGGTGTGAAGAGTGAGGTATGAGGGTGTGGTGTGAGGAGTGAGGTATGAGGGTGTGGTGTGAGGAGTGAGGTGTGAGGGTGTGGTGTGAAGAGTGAGGTATGAGGGTGTGGTGTGAGGAGTGAGGTATGAGGGAGGGGGTGAGGGGTGAGGGGTGAGGGCGGAGGAAGCGGGAGTTTAGGAGAGAGAGCAAACAGCAGCTGGCTAGCACGCCGGCTGGCGACCTTGGCTGGCTCGCACTCCGGTAATTGTGAACATTATCCTATCCCCCAGCCTCCCTCCTCTCATCCCTCACTTGTCAGCATCCTAGCCCCCAGCCTCCCTCCTCTCATCCCTCACTTGTCAGCATCCTAGCCCCCAGCCTCCCTCCTCTCATCCCCTCACTCGTCAGCATCCTAGCCCCAAGCCTCCCTCCTCTCATCCCTCACTCGTCAGCATCCTATCCCCCAGCCTCCCTCCTCTCATCCCTCACTCGTCAGCATCCTAGCTCCAGCCTCCATCCTCTCATCCCTCACTCGTCAGCATCCTATCCCCCAGCCTCCCTCCTCTCATCCCTCACCCGCCAGCATCCTAGCCAAACCACTTTTCTCTCAGCTCTGCATCATCCAGCAGAATTCCTTTGATTGGTATACACTCCAAGAAGCGGAATGCTTTTCTCAGTGTATATATCACACTTGTATATAATGATGCGCTCCATATAAGTCTAATTCCTCCACAGCCTGGTTGACCAGACCACAACCAAGAGGCCTGGTCAGTGACCGGGCCGCGGGAACGTTGATCCTCGGCATGATCACTAGGTTACCGAAAAACAGGGCAACACTGCGGCATCACTCCTGCCCTAATATATCCCTCTGGCTGTATCACGGTAGAATATTGCTGTCGCCTCTGACAAGCTTATGGTTGTCAGTCTGTATCGACACCACATTGGTTCTAATGGTGATGTGGTTGAACTAACGAAGCCTGTGTGTTTTTAATGGTGATGTGGTTGAACTAACGAAGCCTGTGTGTTTTTAATGGTGATGTGGTTGAACTAACGAAGCCTGTGTGTTTTTAATGGTGATGTGGTTGAACTAACGAAGCCTGTGTGTTCTTAATGGTGATGTGGTGGAACTAACGAAGCCTGTGTGTTCTTAATGGTAATGTGGTAGAACTAACGAAGCATATGTGTTTTTAATGGTAAATTTTGTTAACATGTCGAATAGCAAAGCCTGACCTTCCAACCATGTGCTGGTAAATATTTATTGAACAAGCCAGGACGAGATAATAACAAGCCACGATGAAGGGGAAAGATAAGCCATGGAAGAATGAACGATAAGCCAGAGTGGAATGCAGGAAAAGCCAGGAAAAAAAACTTAATTGTAATCCAAGAGAGAGTGACGGATATGTCAGGAAAAAGTATTAGCCAAAGTTGAAGCGAACAATAACCCAGACTGGAGGGAAGGCAAGGCAGGGTAGACGGAATGAAAAAAGTTAACCAAAATGGACGTGAGGAAGGCCCGGATTGAGGCAAGGATAAAGTGTGGGGGAATTACAGGATAAACCAGAGGGAATTGATGGATAATCCAAAATAGACTTGAGGGGAAACTGAATAACCCAGGATGTTCCGTAGGATGAGTGAGGGTGAGCTTGGAGAGTCATCTTGAGGTTATCTTGAGATGATTTCGGGGCTTAGCGTCCTCGCGGCCGGTCCTCGGCCAGGCCTCCTTTTTGTTACACCTACCCAGGAAGCAGCCCGTAGCAGTTGTCTAACTCCCAGGTATTTATTTACTGCTAGGTGATCAGGATGAAAGAAACGCTGGCCATTTGTTTCCACCTCCACCGGGGATCGAACCCGGAACCTCAGCACTACGAATCCCGAGCGCTGTCTACTCAGCTGTCAGGGCCCTAAATTAAGCAGAGTCAACCCGGTCTGCTGTTTCAAATGTCACAATGGTGGTGTGAACACAGAAAATCAAATTATTCTCCAAGTTAACCAAAATCTTGTTGCTTTTTCTGCCCTTCAGTTTCGGAGAAAATACATAAATTAACTTTATTAAAAAATGTGAACTTCCAAAATTATGTGATCGGAAATATTTTGAGTAACGATCCCTCTGAATATCGGTGAGGGATCACGATCGGTGATCCCTCACCGATATTAAGTACACATAAATGATATCAACTCATTTGTTATCAAGTACACACATATTATATCAACACTGAATACACAGCTTAGTTTTATGATGCACAGGCAGAAGCTTAATGTGTTCGCTTACTGATACACAAACTGACAGCTTATGAGAGAGATATACGAACACGGACCAATAAACTGACAGCCAGAGAAAGAGATGGTAACAATGTCAGCGAATCGACTGATAGAGGAATATACGAACATGGCGAACATATTGACAGCGAGAGCGAGAGAGAGAGAGAGAGAGAGAGAGAGAGAGAGAGAGAGAGAGAGAGAGAGAGAGAGAGAGGGAGAGAGAGAGAGAGATGAACAGAGTCCACAGAGTAATGAATTGACGTCCATAGAGGTGTGACTGAGCTAAATTCGTAGCTAATCATTGTAAACAAAACAAAAATACAGTCACGATTATTCTTCCGTTTCAAAGATGTGATAAAACATATGAATTTAAAATTGAAAAAAGGGAACAATAAAACGAGAATTTACATGAGACCTTCACCTTGACTGCTATATCAATGTGGGATAAAATGTCTACGATAAAAGTGTTAATATTATTTCCAGCAAAAGCATCATTTATCTCCGCTGACGAGTATAAAACCAGTAGCTTGCAGTCTATTAGTTAAATGCGAGAATGAACGCTACGCAATGACTATATAACTTGGAGAGTAGTGAAAGCAAAATAGACAAAGAAATGCAAAGAACCGCGCCCCTAAACTTGGAGAATGCCTCCAAGTATTCATTAGTTTGGACAGACACAACTATGTCGCCTTGTAGGAGTGGCGACGTCTCGTGCCTCAACACAACAGTTAAGTTATGTGGCTGTTAACTTTATATAACATTACGCATTTGACTCCCTGGTCTGTATATGACGTAGGTTCATTACTTATATATTCTTTTATAAATATAATAAATATATATATATATATATATATATTATTGGTGTGGTTTATGCGAGACGTATATGATCAGAAGTAATAGATGCCATGAAAAGAGACGTTACCATGATTAAGTAGGCAGAGAACGGTAAGAAAATGTTGTTTTTAATGTTGAAATGTTGTTTCTTCCCATTACGCTTGGTTGAGGTTCTCTTGAGATGATTTCGGGGCTTAGCATCCCCGCGGCCCGGTCCTCAACCAGCCTTTCTTTTAGTTACACATCCCCAAGAAGCAGGCCCGTAGCAGCTGTCTAACTCCTAGGTACCTCTTTACTGCTAGGTGAACAGAGGCATCAGGGTAAAAGAAACTCTGCCCATTTGTTTCCGCCTTCACCGGAGATCGAACCCGGAACCTCAGGACAACGAATCTAGAGCACTGTCCACTCAGCTATCTGGCCCCTCCCTTTACAGTTTAAGTGCATAGTTTCGAATAGTTTGCATTGACTTGTAAATGTCGTCACACATTGATCTAAATTTTGTTAAACTGTTCATTTAAAATTATTAGTGAGAAGGTCAACAAAGAAATATATGTAGATACGTATAGGGAACATGTTTGATATAGCAGTTATTATACATATTATTGTATTTTCAAATAACTCTGATATCTATTTTTATATCAAATAAATTCTGCTACCAGATTAAAAACCAAAATTAGGAAATTAAATTACTAATTATAAAAGTAATTCAATTTATCCCGTGGACCATTTTAATTTTTTTAATTATTTCATAATCATTCACAACACATTTTTTGCAAAGTTATTTTTCCCCAATGTTTTCTTGCTTTTTCTACATTTTTGAAAATCTTGAAGAACCTTGAAGAAGTTAGTTTGCTATCCTGCAACTCGGTCTCGCACAAGACAGTACATATATAACCTATTGCTTGTAGTCACTATTTGGCTGATTAATAAGTACATATGTGGTATATGCCAAGTTATATTATGTTTTTAAGGTACAAACTCTTCATATAAAGACACTCTTTCGGTAACGCTTCAAAAATTGGACTTAGATTTAGCGCTGATATACCCATTTCTTCCATCCAGTCTATACTCGTCATAGATCATCAAAATATTCTATTTATTGAAGAGGATATGTTCATTAAATACAACACCAGCTGCTGCTCTATTATCACTACAAATAATGCTTCCCAAAATGATTGTATTATCACTCATATGTAAATGGATTTCGGGAGATTTTTCTTCGTTGTAAATCATTGCGGAGTTTAAGACACAGAAACACTGCTCACTTGTTTCAGAGAGGTGTGGAGCGAGAGCTGCAAGGCACTTCACCGCACACTCACACAGTGGCACTGACTGGGGGCACTAGTAGTGCCAGTCCTTCACCTCAAGGACCCCACACACTCCCTCCCTCTCCCGGCCCAACCCTCCCTCCGGCCCGCCTTTTAAAATTGAAACTGAATCTGAAATGAGTTTATTAAGACGTAAACTCAAATGAGTGAGGTAACTCAAGCTATTCTCACCCCCTGTTCAATATAACGTGTATATATTTACACACATCTTGAACAATGGACAATATTAGTGAACGTTCTGGGTAATGAACATGTACAAACACCCAACCCACAGATACATTTCTAACGACCAGCCTTAGTCTCTCACTCTCGTTACCCGGGTTCTTATGGCTCCACGCTTGATATAACGAATTCGTTACGTAGACTTCTGTCGATCTGTTTAGAGATGATATAAAAGTAATAACATGTTGCAAGACTCGCTGCAAACAACTCACAACTGGCCTGATACACACACACGTTACTTTAGAACTGCAATGAAGATGAGAGGAATATCAGTTGGCTTATCTTTTTGAATGATGACCAAACCACAACTCAGAAGATGGAGAAGAGACGATGTTTCGGTCTGTTTTGGACCATTATCAAGTCGTGTGATAATGACTTGATAATGGTCCATAATGGTCCACACGACTTGGTCCAGGACGGACCGAAACGTCGTCGCCTCTCCATCTTCTGAGTTGTGGTTTGATCATCATTTCTTCAGCCACGTTATTGTGACTCGTTGTCTGCATGTCTCCTTGAACGTTTACATATTTTCACGAGAATACACAAAACTTACACACACACACACACACACACACACACACACACACACACACACACACACACACACACACACACACACACACACACACACACAATGTATGTGAAGCACATTTTCCAAAAAATAGGGAATACCCATTTAACCATATCATTTCTATACCCATGTCTTCTCTGTTTTGAATTACGGGCTATTCATGCCCGTGCCACCTTTTGGGTGGTTTAATCTTCATCAATCAACCAACCAAATCTTCTCTGTCTGTATTCCTTGATAATGTGTTGAAACACGACAACGTTCATGTTTCAACACATTATCAAGTTCTGTTACATTTTTATTTCTTCGTGGAAACTTACACATAACCGAATCACGTCTTTGTTGTGATTATTCTTGCATATATATATTTGCAGCCATCGATCACTGGTGCAGTGGTCGGAGGATTAGTACGGTTGATGAAGAGACCCGCAGTGGCTTGGGTTCGAATCCTGAGGGGTCATAGAGTTTAAGTTATATCTATGCTTTGGGACCAATAAGGCTTTGAACAAAAACACTGGTGTTAGGCTTTCAGATTTCAATAAATATATTAAAGGTATAGCTATTTTTTATTAATATTAATCAAAATAATCTATCTAAAGTTAAAGTCCAAATGATCATGTTATTAGGATGAAATAATCGGATCACCCGCCCCTAAGTCTTCTGTGTACACTGGACCCTCGCAGAATGAACACGTAGTTGAGAATTGAAAGTTTAGTGCTTACCCTATGCAGCTCATAGTCGTGTGAGAGGAATATGTCAACAAACTCTCGATCAACTTTCTCTTGGCCCGAAGGGGATGTGGATAATTTCTGATTCCTTGCGTCCTTTGGAGTTGGTGTAGACACAGGGCTGGTGTGAGTGGAGGAGGTTGATGGGATGCTAATTTGGTGCTCAACCAGCCACACATCTACCGTGATGCGGCCCCAGGGGAAGTGGCGCAAGATGCCTACTTCAGAGCCCTCAACGTCCAGAGACATCAAGTCTACGTGGGTGACGTTGATCGCCAGCAGCAGCGTGGCCAGGGGTAAGCACTGCACAGACTCGTAGTTTCGACGACCCGGCTCCGTCAAGTCCAAAGTAGTTCCTCCTTTCACACTCAACAGCGATCCGTGCGCCCTTGCAGAATAACTTTTAAAACTATCCCAGCCTGGAAGCGTCACGAATTTGACGAGTGTGCCCCGGTGTGGGTGGCCGTGGGTGGCCAAACACGAATGGCTTGCCCATGCTCGCCTGTGCTTCTCTAACAACTGGCGAAACATGTCTTCGTCGGCTTCCACCAGCAGCCCCTCCCATCCCTTGTCCGTTTCCAGAAATAATGTATTGGAGAGAAACTCCCCATCCAAGGCCCCAGCCTCCACAAAGAACCCGGGCGGTGCCTCGGCGAATATCTCTCGAAGGACCTTTTTACAGAACACGTGAGCAAACTCCCCTTCGTGTAAAGCATATCTGAATTTGTCAGCGGTCCCTTGCTTCCGATCCCGCTTAAGGTTATAGGGTTGGGTGGATGGCGGATGGATGAAGTGGCGAGCCACGGCGTGAAGAAGATCAGGATCATCATAGCTTAGCGGACCAGCCAGACGTGCCAGAAGTAACTGGTCCACATCATCCACTAGTCGCCATCTTGACACAAGTGTCAACATCTGAAGGTTAAAATATTCATTATCAGAGACCGTAACATACAGAAGAGGCACATGTATGTAATGTTTTTATTCCATGATGGAATAAAACAGTCCATTAAGTAAGACCAGGAATAAGAAAATAATCACGGGCTCCTTCGTTACCCGAACTCTCCGAGTTAAAACCCCCGCTCCTGTACCAGTTAAGTCCACTACGGGCTCACCATAGGCCGTGCTACTTGGAACTTTTTGTTCCCAGTAGCTGAATCTATAACAACTACAACAACCGAGCTCTCTAATAATGTTGCTGAACTTTAGAACGAGAGAACAAATGGAAATAAATTAAATTAAAAATGGGCTAATAATCATTAATATGCACTTCGGTTACCATTAACAAATAATAGTTTAATATCACGTCCCATAACGCATCAGACACATTAAAACAGTTCTTAATTATAGCAAAAAGAGATAGGTTATATGCATTAAATAATACCAAATTAGAATTATCACTCGTACATTCACTACATCATTCGTAATAAAATATTTAACATAACAGACTAATCAGACCCACAGTACACCAGCTCACGTCCTGAATGGCAACCCATCGCTTCCTAGGACCCCGTGTACAGTGATCTTACTGATTGTTGTATATTGTGTACAGTGATCTTACTGATTGTTGTATATAGTGTACAGTGATCTTACTGATTGTTGTATATATATTGTACAGTGATCTTACTGATTGTTGTATATATATTGTACAGTGATCTTACTGTTGTATATATACATACCTTGTAGAGGTTCCGGGATCACTATCCCCGCTGCCCGGTCTCTTCCACCCCCGCATTTTTCACTTTACTTTCCTGTGTTCCCTCACTCACGCATAAGGCACTACGGGCTCACCATAGCCCATGCTACTTGGAACTTTATGTTCCAGGTAGCAAATCTTTAACAACAACAACCTCACCCACGCGCTGAACGATGCCCACAGACGACGCATCAAGGATAACAAAGCTTAGCTAACGGTTATCATGAAGATATTCCCTGAGGTTAAGCCATATTGTTTTAAACAGACGTCTGTAGCGTTATTTTAACCTATGTTAAAAACACTCGAGAAAGACTCACCCCTTGAACTAATATTAACAAGGCAAAGACTTTGCAAATTCTTGATGCTCTCTTCGGTAGGGGCATCCTGGTGAGAGGTCTTGTCTGGAGTGGCATATATGGCTGCCAGGCGCCCATAACTCTGTAAACACACAACGTAACGGTTCTTTTTGTTACTTTCTTACAACTTGTTACAAAGCTGTTGCATCTTGCTGCAAAGTTTTTTTTATGACCGGGATGTTGTTACAACTTGTTAGATACTTGTTACTACTTGTTAGAAGGTGTTACAAGTTGTTCGAATGTTGTGGGAAGGTTGTAGTTTTGCTGTGTGTTCGGCATGCTGCAGCGATGCTCTGCCAAGTGTGTTATACCTTTATGATGATTTTTTCCCTATCACGTGGCGGTCGGGTCATACCCAGGAAAATAGCGAGTAAAACATACTATTAATAGACCAGATACACGTTGGGCTAATATTGAGGTCCCCCCACCCCCCCACAGCCGAGTTAGGAAGTACTCACCTATTTGTGCTTGCGGGGGTTGAGCTTTGGCTCTTTTGTCCCCACCTCATACCAAAGGCGGGGTTGTGAGTTACAACCCCGAATGTGAACACAAATGCGAACAAGCCTGAATGGTCCCCAGGACTATATGCAACTTTCCGGTCGTGATGGTCAAGTGGATTAAGACGTCCTGTAGATACCAGTTGCGTTGCTCCTGGCAGTATGGGTTCGAGTCACTTCTGGGGTGTGAGTTTTCAGTCGCATATAGTCCTGGGGACCATTCAGGCTTGTTCGCATTTGTGTTCCTCACGTGTGCCCCAAAGAATGAGGTGATTTGATAAAATGCTATGCCCAAGATTACCATTTGAGTGCCGGCGGGGAAGTGGTTCAAATAGCTTCGGCTATCACTTCCTTTTGTTCGGTCTTGATGGTCAAGCGGATTAAGGCGTCCTGTAGATACCAGTTGCGTTGCTCCTGGCAGTATGGGTTCGAGTCACTTGTAGGGTGTGAGGGAGTGAGTATATATATATATATATATATATATATATATATATATATATATATATATATATATATATATATATAATACAAGAGTTCTTCCATTCTTGTAATGTAATTCTGATTGGGTGATAGGAAATGCGCCATGAAATATATATTTGAAAATTCCAATTGATCCAAAGATGAGAAAATTCCAAATGATGCACTGTACCACTGTATACAGGCGTGCTGTACCACTGTACACAGGCGTGCTGTACCACTATACAACACGCCTGTACTTCCTGACTCTCAGGTAATATACTAAAGGCTGAATTTTTGTTCTTTCTTTAAGTTTGCCCAAGATAAACTTCGTTGGCTGTGATTGTTCATAGAAAATGGAGTAAATGGGTTAACTATTGAAATTTCTATCCAAAAGGTTTAACCAATGATTATTCCAGTCGGTTTTCCATAGCCGCAGAGAAGGAGCTTGTTAGGATTGTTGAGGGCTCCTTAGGT